AGACTACTCCCTGGAAAATCAGATCTACTCCCTGGGACTACTCCTTCATGAATATTTATTAGTAATTTTAACCAAAGTTTTCAGTGGGCGGAGCGTTCCAGGAATCTCGAGTCCGTGACGTGATGTTATTAATGTAACTATGACCCCAAAACATTTCAACTAGCTGCAATAATGTAGCCCTCTCCGATTTTTTTTTATCTGATATTTTCTGGAGAGGGCTACAATTCCATCGCATCTCCATAATGGTGCAAATATATTTTTTTGATACGGGTGATTGGAGAAAAAATATATTATTTTTACATTAAACTTACTTCTTATAAGACGGAATTTTTATTCACTGTCAACAACATAGCCTGTTAAACTCGAAAACAATGTAAAATAAATCTGTGTCTTTCCCAGCTGCAATATTCAGCAGCCATGACAGTTCACGCGTGACGTAGTGAGACTTTCACTTGAAATTTGGAACAACCAAATAAAGCAAATGTCGATGTTTATAAACGATTGTGCTATAATATATTACAAAAACATCGATAAATAAAACCATTTCAAGTGTTATTTTTGCGCAAACAGCGATACGTATGCTTAAAATAAGGGAATTCCTAGTAGATCCGCTCCTATAGAACCTAAATTCTCATTGGCTGTCCCAAAATACAATCCATCAAGGTCAGTAAACATGACGGATAAATTCAAGTTATGCTGTTGACACACACGAAAAATAACCAATATATGGGTCGTTGTGAATATTTTTGGATCGATTTAAGTTTTGCATAATTACATATTTGAATTCCAGGTAAGAGATAATAATAAAATAGCCGTTTACTGATAATTTGAGCCGAAATCCGTGCGGGAGTGATCCACTGCCGCATCTGCGCCATTATAGAGATCCTAAGGAGTTGTAGCCCTCTCCCAAAAAAAAAAAAAAAAAAAATCGGAGAGGGCTACATTATTGCAGCTACATTTCAACATGCAATACCAAAATCGTAGTTACTTGAATTCTAGCAAAATGAAGACAACGATAATATATTCTTGGAAATTTCAGTCAAAATTTAAAAAATTTTTTTTTTATTGTTCTAGGACACGATGCAGTATTTAATTATCTTTTACACCGCGTGCATTTGTGATTATGCCTCTATATACTCCAGCATGCTAGAGGTTCACGGCGAGATACTTTTGACTTGGCGCCGCGTAACCTCTAGCATCCATTGTAAAAATTCTCGCCGCTGAAACCCCAAGTGGAAATAAATTATTTTATTAAGAAATAAGGCTTTGTATATTAACGAATGGTACGAAATAATAAAATACTCAACATTTACGATGAAACTTACGCATAAAACACTGTTAACCTCTCGTATTAGCAATAAATCCATTATTTTTTAAATCGAAGCAGAAATTGAAACAAGTCGTCTGTTTAAAATTCGGAAATGGAATTCAGAAAATCTGACGAAACGAAACTAGTGTAATACAACGAAAATTTCGTTTTCTGACAAGCAATCCGCAAAATTAATGTGAAGTCAAATCGAAAGTACTTCTGGTGACAAATTGGAATAATGACAATTTTTATTAATTAACAATAATGCACACTGAATAAAATGGATTTTATTATTTCTTGTGACTTTCATACCCCATGCAAACACGTAGGTACCTGAAAAATACTTGTTAACAGTTTATATCACGCATAATACGTTCCGCCCAAAATCTCAGGCGGAACGAGCTCGTTAGAAAATGGCCTTCGGATGTAAGAGTCCGAGGTATATAAGGAGCGTAGGGACGTTAACCGAGGCTCTTACTTGTAGGAGTAGCCTCTATAGTGTTTTTAAATGTCGGAATATCTGGGTTTTTTAAAAAAAATTCGCCTATGATTGTTTCGGTATAATAAAACAGTTGTGGAATGGGTACGAGGTAAATAGCAAATTTATGGTCCCCCTCGGTAGGAAACTATTTCCCTCGGTGGCTTCGCCGCCTCGTGAAATAGTTTCCTCCCTCGGGGAACCATAAATTTGCTATTTACCTCGTACTTATTCCATAACTGTATAGTATACTATATATTTTGAAACCTTTGTATCTATAATGCATAAACATTGCTATTTTCAATAAGATTGAAAGCATTGTAAACCTACATTTTCGCTTTTCCACTGGCTACTGGAACGCTGTCAACACACTTCGGCACTCTTGGCTGGCATGTTTGGGGACCGCTTTCGAGAATGTACCTGTAGGCCTAATTGTGATATTGTCAATGTTTAAAATGTTTTAAAATTTCTGTCGGTTGGCTCTTTTAATGGAGTGCCATTCGGCATTTCTGTCACTTTGAAACAGCGATCCCGTCTTCTTGATCATGTCGATTTCACTTGTCGACTATCTTAGGCCTGTGTCGTAAATATCGTAATTTTGCATACGTGTTGGTCATTAACACAACATAGAAATATTTTTTTTATTTAAATATAGTTAAATATATTAATCATAAAAACTTTAAAAACTTGTTTGTGAATTGTTATTAGTTTGAATTTTACGATCGACATATCTATAAGTACGAAGACCCACTTGGGATAAAATGATCATAAGAATACATCCTAAAGGCATAATGACATGTAAGCATCCCCATATATTGAAGATTTAAATTTGTTCCAATCATGAGTACCCTTTAGGGTAGGGAGGGAAATGATGGGGAGTCAAACTTTAATCATTACAAAGTATAATATACAAACAAAATATTTTTTAAAAAATCTATAAAAATCTTTTTCTCCATGACTTTCTCAAGAATTTATATGCGGAATTGATATGGAGGCATTCTCAAGTAGTATTAGAATTCAAGCCCCCCCCCCCCACCCCAACCCCTCAGTAAACTTTTCAATTCTGATCTGATTTGTGTGTTTTCCTGGCCGATGTGCTAAGGTGAGCTATATGGCCTTTGGGCCTCTTGTTAGTGTTTAGCTCAGTTTTTAATAAACAATCCAAGACATTTTATCAAACTTAAAATGTGGATATTTAATTTAAAAGGCGTATTAACTGTGTAAAACTTTGTCCTTGAACTTTTCTGAGACCATGAATTCAGTTTTAAAAATTTTGATTAATTAAAAGTTTAGAAGAAACCCTTTAAGATAATTTTTATGCAAGCCTATGCAATAACAGTGTATGCATCATTCGGCCGGGTATTCATATCATGTGACGATTTTTTTTTAGTTTTGTCATATGAAAACCAAACATAAATATTGTCTATTACTAAAGATATATCAAGCAAGTGCAAATAAATATAATATTTTGGACTTTAGAACTTGATATACATGTACATTGTACACTTTAGTTCATGTGCAGCTATGATAAAATTCTGTTCATCCTTGGGACTTGACTTGCTTTTACCACAATTTTTCACATTTTCGTGGTTTTTTTTTTTTTGTTTTTTCTTTGAAACAAAATAGATAATGTAACATTTGATAAACAAAATAAATCAAAATGATCATTAAACACTAAAAAAAAATAATGCTTGCCATCTCCCGACTCAGGGTAAAAGAATTCGGTCGATAGGTAAATGAATTTTTTTTCAAAACATCTCAACACACATGATAGGAAAATACCGTTTATGGATGTTAAAAAATCCTTTGAATCGATTATTTTTGATTAGTGGATCGATGCAAAGTCCACACATTATTGTGAATAAATCTGTTTATTATGATTAAAAAAATTCATATCTTTTTGATTGGCTGAGATTCAACTATGTGGAAGAAATACTACGTTATATTTACCTGCACGTGACGTTCCAGGTGAAAACAATGATTTATTTTCTCTACATTGACCTAAAAATAGATTGGGAAATTCCAAACTGATACAAATTGGTTTGGAAAGCTATTTTAACGACTATAACTTTTTTCATGAGAACAGAACATAAACGAATATATATTTTCCGGTAAGGGTGCTTAGAGGGGATGCAGGGACCCCTTCCAACACTTTTACTGAACAACAATTTTTACTTTTTTTCGGCCGTCAGTTTTCCCTGATTATACTTCTTCCTTTCAAAATCTATCCTATAAATAAGACTGACATTATATCTTTTTCATGGCAACTAAAATAGATAAAAAACATTTCAAATTGATACTACTAGTTAAGTTTCTTTACGTTTTAATTATGTTTCTTTCTTGTATTTGGTCAGGGCTTAATTAAATGCAAACAAGTAATGAGCTTTAACATTTTATCAGTGAATCATATTATAAAACAATTATTGCTGTTTTTCGGTCAATACAATGACCATAAAAAACAGCCATATTTTATCGTCTTTAATTTGAACTAGTTGTAATATCAGTTGTCTTAGCAAAATATATATCATATTAAATGAAATTTAATACACTATCATATAGGATAGTGTATAAAATTTCATTTAATAAAATCTAATACACTATCATATATGATAGTGTATAAAATTTCATTTAAAGTAATTCCACCCTCCTATGATGTCATAGGTTTTTGCAAAAACTGTAATTAGTTTAAATTCATACCTTATAGAACAATATCTCTTGGAAGAATGCTTTACAATAGGTGTAATGATAAATACTGTTAAGTTAAAGAATTTAAAAAAAAATGCATACTTTCTATATTTTATCAATTATTCAATCTTTAGAAAATGTTGACAAGGCAATAATTCCTTCTAAGGTCTTTTCATTCAGGCATTTGCTTTTTGTAAAATAGTTTCCCTGATATTCACAATTCAAAAGTATCTCTTAAGTAGGAGGTTTTCAGGAACATTCAGCATCAGAATTATGGATTTTAACCAATTTTTACATATTTTTCATGTTACTGTTTACAAAAAATGTCAATTTTTTTATGTTGACATACACTTCTGTTTATTTATGCTTCGTATCTTAAATAATATGGTGATCTATACATTTTTTGCAATAATTGGAAAATTTAAAGTATAGTAAATGAAAATAAATGCAGTTTTTGTACTTTGAACCTATAAAATTGTGAGGGTGGAAGTACCTTAATATATATGTAATGGATTTTTCCTTTATCAGATGACGATCAAAGTACATTATTAGATGACATCAGGGTTTTACTTGTTGGGAGGACTGGCAGTGGAAAAAGTTCAACTGGAAACACAATATTAGGTGAAGACAGGTTTGTTACAACTATCTCCGGCAGCTCAGTCACCAAGCGATGTTTAAAAGAACATACGAAAATAGATGGTCGTAACGTGTATGTAATAGACACTCCGGGACTTTTTGACACCGACAAGGACGACGAAAAGGAGCCACAGTTCAATAATATGTTAAAGCTGGCGAAACCGGGTCCGACAGCAATCGTTATTGTTATAGCTGCAGCAAACATTCGCCCTGAGGAAATTAAAACTTTAAAACGAATTTTAGACTTTTTTAAAGACGATTTAAAAAGACGTGGCATCGTTTTATTCACAAAAAGAGATGAATTGGAAAAAGCTGGAGTGAACTTCAAAACTTATCTAAATTCAACTCCTCAGGCAATGAATGACTTTATCTCAGAATTCCTCCTTGAACCAATCGCTTTTGATAATACACCTAACGGAAGGAAATATAAACAGCAAGTCTCAAGTCTCATTTCCAATATATTGTCTCTTTCAAATGATATTACAGAAAATGCTAATGATAGTGAGCAAGTCGTATAACATTAAAGAGGGACAAAATGCAAATACAAGAACTGGCATACTCTTCAAATGATCAGTACTCGTAACCTATGAAAGAAGAATCAAACTATTCAATTAGATTTTGACACAGAAAATGAAGTATTTAATTGAGATCAAAGGTCTATATAAAGTTGAGATCTTTAGGAAGAACTTATTGTTTTCCTTCTGTCTTCTAATCCTTTTTTGTCTTAGTATGGCTGATATCCCAGTTGAGAATGGACGGATTTAAGAGACTTTTTAGGGAAGTCCAATCATATGAGTATCTCATACGTGTGTTTTTGTTTTGTTTTGTTTTGTTTATTTTGAAAAGTTACTTGTACTTGCGTTTGCGATTCTTTTAATTTGTATTTTTTATTGGAATTTTTTGCATTTTTTTCTCGGTTTTTTAATTTTCTAATTGTTACCTTCTTTACAAAATGATATTAACATTGTAAGCGTAATTTTTTTTTTTTTTACAAATTAATGCCCTTGCTTCTCAGATTATTGAATTTCAAAGCAAATATGTTGTATGGACATATTTAAATGTAATGAGAATACTGTATAAGCATAATTTTCGAGGATTTAAATTTTGTATTATTAGCGATAGGTTGAGATCGCTAAAATTGAATATCGCTAAAAATTAATTGCATATTATATGTTATAATTTTCTTAATGAGAATCGCTAACATTTTTGCATTTTCCCCGAGAACCCAGTCAATAAATGTTTTGATTTACCCTTCATTTTATTTTTTTTTTTATTTTTTTTTATATAAATACATGTACATGTATTTTGTACTGTCTTCTATGTGATGTAACATCAGGTCCATCACTGTTGAACACCAACGAATGAAATGACATAAGTTCTATCATTCTGTGATGCAAGCGGTCCAACATCTCATTGACCGGTCCAGCATCTCAGCGGTCCAACATCTAATTTTTATGCCCGTCCAGCAAAACATTAGAAATGTAACTTTTTTCGTACAGATGTGTATAGGAACAAATTTTTAAAGGTATAACAATAATGATTGTGTCGAATTTATTTTATCCACTTTGCTTATTTGTCATGTGTAATAATGATCTTAACTTAAAAGTGGTGGATCCAAGGGTAGTGGATATTACTTTTTTTTATTTTGTGATGGATTAAAGGATATTAGTGATTATGGTCAATTTATTTCAAACATTTAGCTTACGAGCGATTGTTAGAAAAGTGTTCACGGACACATTGAATTACGGAAAATCTATTGTGTATTGTGAATTATGACCTATGTCTGAATAAATTCCTACATATTGTTTATTAATATGTAAAATATCAGGTCCATTTACTTAAATTTGGAATATTTACAACAATTTTTGCTATGAGGTCATGGGATTTATGGAGCAATCACTTGACATAAGGCGACATGACAACGGGATTTCAACCCGTTAAGCTTTGTCCAGTTCTATAAATCTTTCATTTCTTCATATTTTTCTTTTCTTTTTTTTTACTTTAAAATTGAATGTCTTTATCAAGACATGTTACTTTTCTTGAATGTCTTTTGTACTGATTCGGATATTATTGAGATCTTTAAAAAAGTCAATGCAGTTAATCGATAAGGAATGGAAACTATACAAAACCATCTAGGCAGAACGTCCATGCCATAAGCGGTATTGAAGTATCGATGTAGTTAATCATTAAAAATGTTAATCCTTCCAACCACAAGCTACAACCATTTGAAAACTTTGTCCTTTGTATGTGTAGGAAATTTCCGGCAGCATCTTGAACATTTTAATCTCTTTTTAGACATTTTCCTGTCTACACACATATTTTTCACGTAGTGCAGTGCTCCATGACGCTTGATGACGTTCCGATTTTGGTTGTGTTTTTACGTGTTGGTCATTTATAAATGGCTATAAAACAGTCATATACCCTTCAATTTTATTCAAAATTTTATTCAAAATTTCTCCTAGTGACATTTCATGAATACTTTAGCGACAGGTAAATTACATAAATCTCTACAATTGTGCAATTTTTAATTTTAATAAAGAGTCTTTGTGTAAAATGTAGCATGCTCCGTGAAGCAAGTTGATCAAAATAAAAAAGCTGTATATTTGGAGAACACCAAATTTTGTAGGGTGAATTCACCATGCATTGGACACCCTTGTACTTCAACAAGTTCTAGCGATATCGCTACCGGCGTAAAATTATCAAAATGGACCTTAACACGTCGTATGTGATTAAAATATAAATTTGGGACACAATTATATGCCTTTTATTGAGACAATATCACCAAAAATCGATTTTTTTCTAAATAACTCAAAATTCACCATGGATCGGACATTATTCACCATGCATCGGACCGACGGTAATTCGACCGGAAAAATATCATTCCTCTATCACAATGTTTGAAAATCCTGATATGGATATACTTTTATATTTTATCTAAGAAATAACCCTCAAATTAAATTCACTTGACAATATCGTTGCACAAATGTGGAACGATTTAGGATGCCTCACTTTGCCTTAGAAATGCTTTAAAATGCTTGTAATGTTGTAATTCGCGCCTTTTTCTCATGGATCAACATAGTCTGGTTTGGAGAAATAAATTGAGTCAGATTCTAGATGTCATATATCACTAACATATATTTTGACTGAAAATTTAGTGTTCTCATTTTCTTTTTCCGCAAAAACAGCTATCAGTTGGTTTCAGTATATGAAAATAAAAGTGATTACCTTTGCATCGGAAATTGTACGATGCATGATTAATTTGTGTCCGATGTACGGAGAAATGAACATACTAGTAACAAGTTTGGCTTTCCAGAAAGCCTTAAATGTCATCTCTTTGGCTCCATCTGTGTTAAAGAATAAACAGTGGAATGTAACATTTTTCTATTAAAGACAGAATATTATTAGTATTATTTTTAGGGGAATGGTAATTAGATATTGAACAGGAAAAGGGGTAGCTTTCAAACTCCAAAATCGTAAGTTGTAGATAGGAAGGAAAGGTTTAAAGTTTTTGATTTTTTCTGAAAAACCATTTATTTGGGGAAGACATGACTATGCTAAACGAAAAAGTATGGATAAGGGAAATGACTTGCAGTGAACATGCATTTACAACAGTGAAAGGTTAAAGGGCCGGGCTGGGACTCAGATTGAAAAAAATATATTTTTCTGAAATTTTCTAAATAATATCACGATTCACGCTTAAGCATTTCACACTGAACTATATATAAATCGTATTGAGAAAACTCTTATATATGAAAAATCCTAAAACTACTAATTTTGGGACACGTTTGATTGAAACGTATTCTCATTCTTTAGTATGTGAAAGGATTATAATCTTCATATAGGCAAGTATCTAACTTTGGAATAATTACATTTTTAAAAGAAAATTTGGATGTCAATTTAAAATACGTTAAACATAAAGGAAAGAATGAATTGGCCATTCATTTCATACCTTCATACTATTCAGATAGAATCAATGAGCAATTCATATTTTCTGAGAATTTTTTTTTAAAATCACATAATATTCTTATAACTTAAAGAATTTTAGATGCATTTGTATTTGTTAATTTATTTAAAAACACACTCAAGATAGTAACAACAGCTGACCAAATTCCACTTAGCGCAATACGATAGTAAAATTTAAAAGGTGTCAGCTAAAATTAAGCATTCACGAATTATCTGGAAAAAATCCCAATTTGCCAACCCTGAATTTACGACTGTTTTAGGAATATATTTTAATTTTGGCCTCATTTTAATCAAAAAGAAAAGGTGATTTGATTACTTTTTTGCTATTAATACAATTGAAAATTGTATAAAAATAAATGCAAGTTCTTTTATTATACCGGGGTATATGATTAAAAAGAAAACTGTAAACATTCAAGAAATATTCGATCATATTCTTTGTGAGTTTTCTTCCAATGCTCGTAGTTAAAATTTCAAATATATTCTTGTCTATTCTTAATTATCCCCATACATATATATTTTTGTGGAAAAATGGCAATAAATTATAGAATGACAACCATAAGAAAGTTTTCGACATCAATTCATAACAGTTTATAGTTCTAAATGTAAATGTGTTTTTCTGTTAATTCTTGGATCCACGCCTCAGCAGATCATTTGTGATTCAACGCGCTGACCTAGTTAGAATATTCCATCTGGCGCAGACCATAGATCATTTACGCAGTAGCCTACATGTAAACATGTAGATGATTAAATAATTACATATATTTTGAACACCATGCAAACAACCAGCAGGCCCTCTGTGATTCCTGTGCAGCCCTTTTTCTTTTTCAATGTTTGGATCGCTCATTGTTTACCGCTCTATATTTAGAAAATTGCATCATCATCAAAGTGACCACTCGGTGCTCCTCGGATAGTTCTTGCCCCGCACGAGCGTAATCATCCGAGGCTTACCGATTTTTAATGGCTGCTTACACTGGGACCTCACATCCGGAAATCAAACTTAATGTGTCATCTCTCGTGAGAGATGACAAAAAGCAGCTCTAAAATGAATTATACAAACATTGAAGTGAAATTTCATTAAAAGTTTATGTAAATCTTATGTAAAATTTCCAATCTACCAAAGTCTGACTTGATCCGTTGAAATCGAATTTAAAAGAACGATAACTCTTAAAATTGCATAATCATAAATTTCTGGTTATTCCCTTTTAATGATGTAAAATATGACGTAACTTCAAGGCCATTCTCGGAGTATTTCATCACAACATGATAAAAACAATCGGTTTCATTTAAAACTTTAAATCTTTAACTTCAAGTTAGAAACAAATAAATACACAGAACGAATTGATTTCAATAGGCATAAATATTTCTAAAAAACTAAATTCTAAAATAAATATTTTAATAGAAAAAGAATATTATCAAATCAGTTAAAATGAAATGTCAGAAATTTACAACAATGCCAATGACGATGACGATGCTCCAATTTCAGCTAAAGAACATCTTCGCTAGGAGAGTAGCGTATCAGAAATCTTGACTAGCGAAGAAGGCTAAAGAATGACTAAGTTGATGTTGTATAAACTGTGATCTAACTGTGATCTAATGAAGTATTCTCTTAAGTACACATATCATTATAGTAAGGTATTATATATCCTATGGGATAAAAATTCCCAATTACACTTTAAATCCTATGAATAGCTAATATGGGATTTTTAATCCTACTTCAATCCCATGGGAGGAAAAATCCCTCACAATGTTTTCCACCTGTGGGATTTTAGTGGGATTTCAGGTGGGATGAAGAATCCCCATTCTCCCATAAAACTTTTATTTTTGGGAGAAGTTTATAAGAAAACTACACCATCGTCAAAGTTGAGATTGCCATGATGAAATGAGAATAAAAAATCCCACCAAACCAGGAAATTTTTTAAATTATGTCTTTTCGAAAGGTTACCTAAAATCCAGACTTTGTCGTGTCTTGACGTAAATATTATACAGTTAAATGTGTATTTGTTTTTTTTTTAAGATATCAGATTTAAACATACTGAGCGTAAATATGAACTTCAAGGCCCTATATGATATAAAACCTCAAAAATCAATGTCAACCAAAGTGAAATATCATAATTTGTTCATGGTATATTTTTCAGGG